AAGAAAACATAACTCTTTAAAAATTATTAAACAAAAGATAGAAAACCAATATTATTAAAGGAAGAGAATCCAAAATTATTATAACAAACCAAGATAACAATAAAGCAACTACATATCAAGGAAATAATCATATTCAAAACTACGACATGTCTAGACACGAAACAATAATCCTCTTACATTCACCCTCACCAAGAGTATTTGAAAGCATAGATATGAAATCATCAGTCACACTTTTAGAAGACCATCCAACAGCTTCAACGATTGCATGGACGTACTCATCATCTTCATCGAGCAAACACAACGCAGAACACGCATCTATAAACGCATGATATACTACTCCACGAACAGTTCGAACATGTTAGTCACTATTATACAAAAGGAAGTTGAAAACAACAAAACTGAAATCCAATACGATTTCAAATCATACCATTTATAGAGACGCATCGAACTAAAGAAGAAGGAAAATATTATACATGTAACATAATGTAACTTGTATAGACATTAGTCAAACGAATAAAAGTAAATTATCAGGAACCATCATGCCATTTTTATAATAAAAAAATCGAAAAATAAAATTAATATATTAATGTAAAGACCTAGAAATTTACTATCTTTTTCTAAGGAAGAGTTTTTTGTTGTAGTGTTGGGTTATGTAAAGAGAAAGCAGCGCCTAATACTGTTTTTTTTTTGTACCAAGCTTGCGGCTCACGGTACGTGATGATAATCAAAGGGTCTGAACTGCAATCATCAACTTTGAAACCAAGAATCTATCATTAGCAAAGTGTGTCTCATCATCAAACATCGCACCAAGCCAAGAATTGCAATCATCAACTTTGAAACCAAATCGAATACAAAAATTAGATTTTCTTAAGGTCGAGTTAATTAAACTATGAAATCTATAAAACATAAAAATCAAAGTTAGACTAAATCATCGAACATAAAAAAAAGGATGAAAGTGATTTAGAGAAGTTCAACTTCTCATGAGAACGATGATCAAAGTCATATGATAGAAAAATTTAATCAATGTGAATTTGCACAAAAAAATAAAGATAATAAGGAGAAACATACGTATGAAGCAAATTTAATAAGAAGGATTGATTTCTCTACTTGTGAAAGAGAAAGAGAACAATCGATGATTAAGTTTACAAAGGTAAAAGGGGTATATATAAGCATGGATGATATCATATCATTTAAATTCACTTATTAAAAGAGTTACATTTGTTAAAACCGAGACTTGATCTCGTAGTATGAGAAGCTCACTCAAACCTGTAAAGCAAAAAACAAAAAAAAGACATATATTGAACAAATTACAATATGCAAATGCAAACTCAGAAACTG